AATTTGAACCAACCACTTTATCAGAAAAATTTCATTGGTTATATAGCAGTTTGACAAACACTAATTTTGATCATTGAGAAGTTTAATATTTCCTTAACAAAACAACGTAATTAAAACGTTTAGCTGATTTTTACAGAGTTATCTCCCTGTAGTGTTATGTACCACCTTAAACTAAACGAATAATTATATATCCATGCTGTCGCTCAAAGGGTAAAATAAAATTGAAAGCTAAAGATGATACGTATGAAAAAGACCGAAAACTATATTCAGTAACAACCTAACAGAACAATAAAGGTAGAACAAATATAATAGAACATCCTGTGTTTGGGCATGAACAATAAAATACGCCTGTTTTAATTGGTTTACGATCTTTTGTATCCCACTAATAGTTAATCGGACTTATTAAGTTGCAAAGGGGAAGTTTTGAGTCAGGCTTGCTGTTTGGTTTCACAAGTTCTCATATTCTTAACACTTTTGAAAACATCCAAATATCTTTAAATTATCACCTACGTTCACCTTCTGTTGTATTTAAAACCTTGAACCATTTACCCTTCCGGAGCCCCTGAGTTCACATGATATACCGCGACACAGAATTGTTTCTGTTGAATTATCTTTTAATCAAACTTTTTAATTTTTAAGTGCTCTAAACTAATTTTACCTCGATCAGAGTATAGAAGTATCAAATTGACACTTCCAGGATCAGAGATATAGCTTAATCTACAGAAAAAGCGCATGATAAAAATGTTTCGTTCAGAAAGTACATTCAGTAAAAACAAAAAGTCGTTATTACAGACAACATCTAAATGAGCATCGTTTAAAAGAATGCTGGCAGTTGTTGGAAGCTATTACAAATAGCATATTGATAATATAACATCTTATAACAGTAATACACTTCCCAGTTACTATAAGACAGTTATATTTCCCATATACTATAATACTTACATCGGTACCCATCACAAATGTGATAGACACCATTGTGCCGTTCATTTGTAAGCTAATTTGTCTAAGTAGATTTTGATTGTCACCATTCTGAACAAACAGATCAGTTGGTCAATTGACTGGATATAAAGACATCCCAGCATGCAACGTTCGCACTACAACGCAGAATCAAATACGTGTTTATTGACATCTGAATAAAGATAGTAAATTAATTTGCTGAAGTTCACAAAAGACTTACACACCTGGCACAAAGGAAATTAGAGGGGAAGTTCTCATTACGGGGCTCCCGCTGGTTCTATTCACTCAGTCAAACTGACCGAAAATATATCTTCAATTGCAATTTATACTGACAAAAAGGGCAATTCTTTGACAACATTTAAATAATAATTGGTCATTTTCTACTTCGTTAATCTTTTTACATCGGTATTTTTCTTCCAAAAAAACCAAATGAGATTAATGACAAAATGGCCTTCCAATCAAAACATATCATTAAATGGCGCGTATTACATCAAAATATAAAATTATAATGATTCTGCTAATGGAGTACTATGTGTTATTGAACAGACGAATGAAGATTTAATTTACTATTATAGGAATATTTTTTTAATAAAAAGTTGCTTTTAACGATATTTAATTTGGAAGATTAACAAAACCACCACGAAGTACAGAAGATACGAAATAAAATATATATAAGGCTGGAACAAATCAATTAAAATCAAGTAAATCAGAAAATCTTAATTTTGGCCAAATGTAGATCCGTAAAAACAGAGATGGATATCACAATATCTGGACCAAAAGCGGTACAAAACGCGTTGAAAACTAGGAACTGTGAATATATGATATAAATAAGGAGATTTAGTATAACCACAGATGTATAACTATCAGTGCGACAACTATCCATAAAAACAAATAGACAAAGATATGGATATTTACAGGTCATCCTACGGCATTCAACAATGAATAAAACCCATACCATAGTAAGCTATAAAAGGCCCGACATGGCATAATGTGAAACAATTCAAAAGAGAAAAACAACGGCATTATTCAAATAGAAATAATAAAATACGGAAGACTGCAAAATAACCAACGACAAAATTAACCAACGAAAACCACGGACCACAGGTTTCTGGTTTCAAACACATGGGACAGTGTAACAACACAAAAGAAGCACAAACTATAAGACTCAGTTACTATAAGTACGAAGTAAACAAACAAACAAAAAAGAAAAAAGATACAAAGTACCGATTTAATAGTACTTGCAGCTACTAAAAGCTAGCATAAGGTCAAATTTCAACTTATCAATAGACTATGTTCTCCTTGATTAAAATGTCAATCAGTACACCTCTAACGGAATAACTCTTCAAGAAGTGCTTTTTATTCACATTACAAACAGGAATTTCGTTTGGAAACCTATTTAATAAAGTTGAAGCTGTGTGACAGGATTTATATAGCAAAATTCAGATGCTCAAATTTAAAATTTCCTGTAGAAACGGGAAGATGGTCTAGAATACCAAAAAATGAGCGAATTTGTCATCTCTGTGGAAACGGGATAGGAGATGAATTTCATTATCTATTCAAATGTCAAAAACAGGAAATAAAACTGCTTAGAAATAAATATATACCAGAATTTTATACTGCAAATCCAACGGAGTACAAATTAAAACAGCTTCTAACATTTTGTCATGTAGAACTTTACAAAAACTTAGCAATATTTTTAAGAATACTTACACGATACTTATGATTTATATTTGTCTTTTTTGAGTTGAATGTTATGGTAATTTGTAAATTGACATTTTGCTGTATTTTACCATGCATGCATGCATTATTATGTGTAGTGTAAATGTATTGAGTATAAAAATGTGGATACGTGTATATATGATGTCCTCTTGTACACCTATATATATATATGTGTCTGAGGTTTAATAATAAAGTATTGTCTATTGTCTATTAAGTGTAAAAAGGTCATAGGCAGGTTGATAATAACACGACCTTTTCAGTATTATTATTATTATTATTATTATTATTATTATTATTATTATTATTATTATTATTATTATTATTATTATTATCATATTGCTTTGGTTTTTTTATTGTTTCGTTTTCCAATTTATCCTACTTTATATATTTTTTTCAAATTACAATAAATTAAAAAAGTAGGACATTTGCTATATGTTAGCTGATTGTTATATCAATGAATTTGATAGCAGTTCTTCTTTACATATCATATTTTATTTAGAAGTCATAGTTGTCTATTAATTATTAAAAAAAAATGAGCAATTAATGTTAAAAAATTGCATCTTTTGTTTATAGGAAAATATTTTTTTAAGATGATGTACATCAATGCTTAAAAAAAGAAACACAAAACTTAATATGAATTAAATTGTCAATTTAGTGCATATATCACAGATATTCAGCATTATTGCACATCTACCAAGGCACTATACTTTATGTAGATATCAAACTATTGGAAAAAGAAAGTAAAAGGAATTGTGTGAAAATCCTTTCAATATAACTGATTGTTTTTAGACTGGTCAGCTACAGATAAATTTCACAAGGAAATAAAAGGGATTAGGCAACATATTGAATAGCCGGACATTTTGGATCTCTATACAAATTATCACAAGTCTAAAACTCTATTGGTCATCTGACGAGGGTGTTCAAACATGTTGAAAAGAAACATTTTAAGCCAGATTTCAAATTTGTCCACTTATATTCGAAATTTTCAAAACTTATTGCACAGCCACCCATTATATGTTAACTCACTCTATGAAGGAAAGCAAAACTTATGAAAGGGATGAATCTAAATAATATTCGCCCAAATCCAATTCCAATTTTATACTTTTTCTTCGAAATCTTAAAAATTGCGTCAACGGACGGAATACAATTGTTCCATTAAAAATCTATAAAAACATGGAATAAATATTATAATAAATTGTAAAGAAACAGTTAGACGGACAAAGATACAAGATCATCGAGGTTTTTCGAAACGATGGAACAAATCTACCCTTGAAAACATAGAATCAGCTAAAATTATAAATACTAGTATTGGTAAACATTATTATGTTCTAAGACAAAGTCTGGTTCTAAGAATAAAAAGAACATAATTATTCTTTAATTAAGTATTTTTTGACTATATGAAAACGTATATTTCCTTTCGAGATTAAGTTTTTCATGAGATTATGATTTACCATTTTATTTCCTTTGGTGTTTTAAAGAAAAAAGAAATCGAAGTAAAAAAAGTTTTACTTACAACGAGAGTGTGATTTCAATTCAAATGTTAAGGAATAGGTTTCGTGTTCATGAAAAGTTGAAAACTAAAATAAAATAAAATTCTTTTGTTTTTAATTGCAAATACATTAAGGAAAAAAAGACAAAAAAGTCCGAACAATGTTTCACTCACAAACCTATACCAACAGAGTGTAAAACGTTCATGTTTTAATAGTTTGATATTCAAAATACTTTCTCTTAATAAGATGAATTGATACTTTTATAACCATGATTACAAATCCTCTTCTATCTTTTTTTTTTAAATTGTTACATTTAATTAGAACATGTTATTCATCTTCAATTTCATTTGAATGACCGTTTTGCTTTTCTGAATATTATTTCTATTTGAACTGTTATACCAACAGTCTTTAATGATATGTTTAAATCTTAATTAAACGATAATATTTAAATTGAATATACTATAATATCAAAAAGTGGTAAAACATATTCCGAGTTTCTCAGCAGCGGAAAAGTTAAAAATTGTGAAACAAAACTTGAAAACTTTTCTCGGACCAATAAGATAGAAAATAGTTTATTAACCAAATATAACAAAAGTTTAATTCAAGAACTCTTTTGACAAATTATGTCGAATATTTGTAGATTTAATCTTATTGTTTGTCATATTTTAATTTACACGAATCCTCCTCGTATCAGATTTCGAAACTGTATCAAACATACCTTTGAAATAATGGAGGGAAAGAAAAAGGCAGAACAATAAAATCTCATGGAAAACATTACTTCATTACACATTAAAAAGTAAGCTTTTTTTCTGACTAATGAAAAAAAAAAGAGAATATAGACAATAACTTTATTAACCATATATATATAACAACAATTTATTTCACCATTAAATAAACAATCACCTTTGTCAGTCTTCTTTGATCAGATATTTAAAATAAAATGTTCATAACGATATATACACTATGTTTTATCTATGATTTCACGCAATGTTCCAGCATACATCCATATATACACGTATAACAAAGTTTAGCACTTTAAGCAGTCACGTGTTGCTATAACAATTCTCTAGACACTATAAATTGGCAGAGATTTTCTAGACAGTTTGCAGAGTTGAAATGTGAAGGATTTCCTTTGTTTTATTGAAGAATTACGAAAGATGAATCTTCAGTCTGACAGTTAAAGAATCAGTGGGAAAGGAAAAACAAACAGTATCTGACACTAATCCTAACTTCCGCCGTCGCAAACCCCCTCTGTAGGCAAGAACTGTTTTGACAGATTATCGTAACGATGTGTAGAATTTTACACAAATACTGATATTATTAAGTTGGACTAACACTTAGTTCGTTTGACTGTTCATGAGGTGACAACGGGGAACTACTTCTAGAATCGTCTAAGTCAATATCATCATCATCGTCATCGTTCATTATATCGATTTTATCATCATCGTCGAACGATATCATCGATCCATCAGTCGGTGACGAACTATGAAGACGACTAAGTTTATCACTGCCATTGTGCTGAAGCCTGAAAATAAATGATTTGTTAGAAAACAAATTGTTTGCAAATTACATACATGTTGGTCAAGCAGAAATACAACATATATAACATAACAGTGAAGAAATACATGTATAAACATAAAAAAAAAACATACAAAAAACCAGTGTTATGATATCGTAACTTTTGATGGACATGGACCTCATTTTCGCAACTCTAAAGATTTCTGCATAAAGTATTATATAAGTTTGTTTCTCTGTAATAACTCGTTGCATGTAATTAAAAATTTAAATGTTAATATCTAAGGATATAAAATTTCAGTCGATGTCATTTATGGAATGAAAACTTTTGGTTCTAGAATGTGAACATCTGCAGAAAGCTGTACTCTAGAAATATTTGGTTATTGACGTCGTTTGGTTGCACTCTCATTTACCTGTACGCTTTATTTCCTTTTTAGTCGTAAGAAAAAAACTCAAATGTAATTTTGCAGTTTCTATGAGTAGACGGGTTTAGATTTCTGAACAGAGTTTTTAAGCGACCTCAACAGAAAAGTGTAAAAGAAAATAATCAGAAATTTCACGGTCTTCAAATAAACAAGTTTTTGTACTTAAAAGTTTGCACCCTGGTATTTATACAGGGAAAATCTTTTAGGATGTTTCTGATCTTGCAACATATAAAATAACAGGTACACTTCTATACAATATAAACAATTAAATAAAAAAAATACATAATATCAAATTTAATTCGGTAATCTGAAATTGGCAGGTCAATATTGGTTCTACAAATCAACGGGTATAATAGCTTCCTTCTTAAACCTATTTGGAGAGATACTCAATTTAAACTATGCAAATTGTGCCGGAAAGGATCTCATGTCTCAGGGCTGTGTAAACTAGGTATAAATGTTTCTAATTTACTGAAAACAGGAGGGATTCGTTTAAATAACAATTAAATATCATTCGCTTAAAGCACCCTATCTTTTGGGCAGACATAAGAATCAAATGCTTTAATTAAACTTTTAAGTTTTTTCCCATGTGCACTGGTCGCATATTTTATATTAATATTCTTAAGTATTATATAAATTGAGAAGTACTAATAATATTTAAACATATTTAATGTTTCTTATTATTTTCCGTTGAGAATAGAAAAATGCATTTTTAACGTATTAATCATTAAATGAGACTTAAATCGAACTTAAATTATGTCTGTATAATTTTAGATTATCAATAATGTATTAAAATGGTCTGGAATCTCACATTATGCATACCTGTTAAAAGTTTATGTTTAAAATTGATAAGTGAAAAATCTTAAAATTGATTTCAATTGTTAAGATGATTTCAAAGTTTATTGTATATTAGCTTGAATTCAAATAATATCTTATCAAGCAGTTGGTAAACCAAACAATTAGAATTACTTAAATATGTGAAACAAAATAAAATGATAACCATTATCCGATTTTCAACGATAAAAGACTTAAAAGATTTCTTATAATCATATCTGCTTCGTGAATGGAGTTTATACACTAAAGCCGATCTAGTTATGTACTTCGTGTCAAACTTGAGGCTAAGTGATGATCTCTTCCTTACATAACTAAAATCTTTCTTTTACCCATTTCGGCAAATACGGAAACGTTGGAATGTATTTAGGTAAGTCTTTCGAACTACAGGTGCGAGAAGTAAACATTTAAACAAAAGAAAATTGAGCTTTTTATCAAATAAATAAGAATGATATTGAATGTATTAGTGGATCGGTTGATGAATTGTATCTATCATTTTAACACTGATATAACTGGCCAGATTACAGATATTAATGGTTCAGTGTCGGTCAGTAAGAGTTTTACGTGACACAAACAGAAGGCATTTCTTAACGTAATAAGAATTTCTACTCATATATATTTATTCTATGTATAAATGACCTAAAACGATCTGTTTATCTTCATTGAAACCAATTAAATTTTGACAGAAGAACGTGCATCATGTGGAATTTTGACGGCTAATTCGGGTGTCTTATCAATGTCATTAAGAATATTGGATATATTTATCATGTATAAACTGTATGGGGGGATGTTTTCAATAATACTTTCATTTTTCACACCTTTGTCAAAATATCTCAACACAAATAATAATGCAATTTATTTTTTTCTATTAGTCACACCACAGATGTTGAATGATGACGAAATGTTTCATTAGGACTTTTCTAAAAATAATGTAAATTTTTAAAGTTCTAATCAAAATTAATCGGAATACTATACATTTTCTTTGATAAGTTGTGAGTTGGTCCATTCATTTGAAAGTTGAAATACAATGAACACTATTTATTTATAAATTAAACTGTGAAAAAGTAACTTTATATTCTTTTCTTTTCCTTCTTGTAATAAATAATTTGATTTACTTTTTAACAATACTGGTTATAAACTTGATGACTCTGAGTTCCCACTTTTAATTTTTTTATATTTTAGCTGTGATAATTTTTATTAAGTGTAAGTTATAAGGTTTCCCCGTTCCAATTAATATCCTATCGTCCACCCTCTTCATACTTAAGTATATACTAAAAGTTATCGAGCTTGCTTATTTTCTTTCAATGAGACTTGAGAGACATTAAAAAGTCTATTTAAGTAAAGTTTAAGAGGTTAATGAAATAACCAATTAGTCTTAAAATAACTGGACATTAGAAAGCCTTGGTGAGACCTGTCTGGGCATAGATGACCACTCAAGTCAAAATCTACAATAATATACATAATATCATCTTCCGATACACAAAATACATTGACAAAACGTCTTTAACCTTTCGTCGTATAATTGTTACATTGTCACAACTTTCCTGTCGGCAATAGGTTAAACCCCGTCTATAAACAACTCTAATGAAGCCTGGTGTAACTGCTTTACAGTAAAGTGTTGACAAAGTTTTATTCAATTTGGTTATGTTGGTAATCAAAATATTAGCTAAGAACAAACCCAAGTCAAAAATTTAAATAAATATAAATAATTTAAACGGAAAATCTATTCAGTAGCTGTCTAGAAGAACACACGAAGAAAATAGATTTTGTTGTAACTCTGGTCTCGTGGTATATTGATATTTAATTTCCTATTTTTAAGCTGTTTGTCCACATTAATCGGCGACAAATTTACAAATCCTTAAGTGAATTTGCGGAGTGTCAATCTCTTTACAGATAAATAATGTTCAATAAAAAGGAAAATATCCCCTATTGACTCAGTGATATAGATGTTCCACATTATAATAAATTGGTTTTATATCTCGAAAACGTTAAAGGAGAAGGAGTATAACAATACTTACTTTCAACTTAAAAACAAAATATTTAAATAAAGTAAAAAATTATATACATATTTTTTATAATGATTTATATTCTTATAAAACATATAGTTAGTTAAAATGATTAGTCGTTTATGAAATATTGAATTAAAAAACATGTTCGCGAATCTTCAAAAGAAAAAACATATGAAAAAATTTTGTAAAATCATTACAATATCAGGTAAAATCTGATAAATTTCAAATTATTCATTCGATGACAACTTTAGATTTTGCCTGTGTAGTAGAGATATACATATTGTTTGATTTTGATACAAATTGAGATATCATATTTTTCTCGATTGAGCTGTAGTTTTATCATTTGTAAACACAACATAAAATCAATCATCGATTCTTTGATCTTTACAATATTGTACATGTAAAAATCTGTGGAACTTTGCTCCTCCGGTCAAAGAAAGCATGTTACATATTACAACTTTTTCTTATTACTTAACACCTTCTTAAAGATAAAGATCAAGATCAGTTTAAGATGACCCTAAGCGAAGTTTGAACATACTATAATTATGAATAAGTTCATTAGAAAAAATATTGCAAGATTTAAATGTGATAAAAATTGGAGAGAAAATGGAAAACGATTAATATTTAAAAAAAAAATTATTAATACTGATTTTGGTTACATTGAAATCCCAACTGATGATAAACTATTGTGGTTACTACATTTGGTATGTATTTTCCTTGAATGTCGGAGTGGAGACAGAATTTTCACAAACTCTGAAGAAAACTATTTAACAATTCTATCATGTGAATTACCAATACAATTCTTTTGTATTTCAATTTTGTTTGTATTATGTCAAAATAAAATTGTTCATGAAATATTAGTACTATATTATAAATTTGAAAATGGAAAAGAATTTTAAAAAGTAATAAAATACAAGGAGATAACAATCAAAAACAAAGACTTCAGAGAAAGACAAACATGACAACGGACAAAACAAAACGGGAAAAAACAAATACTGTCCTAAGACCACTACACAGAAAACTAAAGATTTTGGACGTCCTGAACCCATAAAAAATCAAACCTCGAATTTCAATCACAAGTACATTAGAAAGGGATTCAGTAAATAAATATTTTAGACGTTCTTTTTATGGTTTCACAAAAAAAAAACCTTTATTCACTGAGTTGAAGGCAAAGCGTGAAAATTTCTGAGGTATGCTTTAAATTTGTGGAAATTTGGGATATTGCAATACATAATTTTAGCATTCTCCAGTGAAAAAAATCTTTATGGCCTACAAATGTATGACAACTGAAAAATCCGTATTCAGTTTTTGGGTAAACATATACTTTTCGATGTAACACCAATATACAAAAATAAAGTAAAGCAAATGAATAAAATAAGTAACAAAATTGTTGCCCTCCTCAACTCCTTTAAAAACACATTTTTGTTCCAAATTGTTTTTAATGAAGAAAGTACCTTGTTAAAAATGTCAATTGTTATTAAACACATTAGTATAAAGAAACTTCTGTATTTGAGTTCTCAACTGTTAACACGAATTATTCAATAAAATGCGTTACTGAAAAGAGAGGCGATATAAGAGAGACACTGTTTCGAAGTTAAATACAAACTGTGAATATCATACCTATGTAAACGGTTGTGTAATATTTTTTTTAAAGTCATTGCAATCAAAACGATCTTATTTAGACAATTGTTGACATTATTTATAAAAGAATTAATATAAAATATTATGAATAAAAAACTAAAATCATAAAATCATAAAATATGAAAGTCATGAAGAAAATCAAAGCTAAGTCAGTTCTTTTTTTATCCAATATTACAAAATATTTTATGAATATGCACAGAGAACGATGTGGACATTATTTATGCGTTTGTGAATTAACGATATGTCTTAAATTAAAATAGTAATGATAATAAGCGAATAATTATTTTTGTTATAATATTTAGAAGAAATGAACAAAACATGATTATAATCATCAATAAAACAACGACATAGATATAGAGTTTTTTTTTAATTTTATATGATAAATCTATATTTTATTCATTTAGAAAGACACATTTTATGAGTTATTTTATGTTATTTTATTTGTAACATAACTATAATTATTTTTGATTATTAACAAGCAAAATTATATTATCCAAATCAACTAAAACAAGCAAACTGTTAATTTTCAACTAATAAAAATATTTAAAGACATATACACACCCAGACATGCACAGAATAAATGATTCAAAATAGCCGAAAACTCAACTTTAAAACATGAAACATACCTATTTTTAGAGGCTGCAGCTCTGTCTCTTTGCCGCCTGTTTTTGAACCAGTTACCAACTTGTGTAGGTGTAAGACCAGTGGCTTGGGCTAGCTCCCTCTTCTTTGTAGGATTAGGATAGGGATCTTGTAAATACCATTCCCTCAACAAATTTCTCGTCCTTTCTTTAAAGCAATGCGTCTTCTGTTCGCCGTCCCATATTGTCCTTGGTAATGGGAACTTCTTTCGGACCCTATATTTATCTACAGGGCCTAAAGGTCTACCACGTAATTTCTCAGCTTCCTGATAATGTGCTTCTAACCACATTGCTTGTAATTTAGCATGGGATTCTTTGGTAAATTTGTGATGTTCTATAATATGATACAAGTCTCTAAAGTTTCCTGTATGAAATGCCACTAAAGATCTGGCTCTCAATACAGATTCGTGCTTATTCAAAGCTTCACATGCTGACGGGTTCACTGGCAAAGACCATAAAAAACGTCCAAGTCTTTCTATATCACCACTTTCTTCCAAAGTTTCACAAACTTGTGCCACTTGTTGTGGAGTAAAATGTAAAGTCGGCAAAGCAAACATATTGTCAAAATGTAAATGCACAATTCTTTAAAGCTTTTTTTCACACTGCAAAACTGTGAAATTTTAGTGTATTAATTCATTTCCCAAAACTACAAACAAATATCTCATAAACCGATAATACAATGAAAATGATTGTCAAAATCTGATATTATGATGTTTTCATCAAGAGTAAACATTGATATATCATAAGTGTTTGGGAGTGGTTAAGAATATTAATATACTGTAATCAAATATATCGAGCAATCAAAGTTTAAAAACAGTTGCAAAACGATTGGTTGATACTTCTCTTTTGAAATTATTACTATAGAGACAATGTCAATCACCGCCCACTTCTGTCAATCATCTCGTATCTTACATTTGATTGGACAATGATTAACAACATGAAGAAAACCTCACTGGATAATAATATTTTCAAATACTATTAATTGTTACAATGAAGTACTTACGTATGTAAACTAATTGGTAATGATAACGGGTAGTACTTGACGGTGTCATTTCATCACAGGTGGGCTGGACAAAAATTCCAACACAAAATGAGTTATACGATAAACATTTACTAAAACTAATTTCATTGATAGAATATTTTCAGTTTTGATTTAAAATATCTTCAATATTTCATATCGAGACAATGAATGGTTTAAATTCTTGACTATTTTATTAAATTGTTATAGAGGTTATTTTTCGTAAAGCTATTGAGTAGGCACTTGTGATGCAAATATTATTTACATTGCTAATTCAAAAATACTTTTTATCAAGTTGATTTAAAAGTAAAAATGCCAGTTGAAGATTCCATGTGTCATACACCCCGGGTTGTTGTAACTTTGTAATTACTGTGTAGAATAGGTTTGGAAAGATATAGAGAAAATTGTATCTGACAATGTGTCAAGCCAATGATCATATATTGTATTTTATTTGCAAAATCATCAAGATTTAAATAGAAATAAGTATGATTCGGAAACAGCATTAATTACATTTACTTGGTTTTACCAAGTATTTGTATAGTAAGAAGGTTCTTACTTTACAATCCTTGGTTTTACAAAAAAAAAAAAGAATTACGGTTTTACGGAATGTGTTTTTTTATGAGGAAGTAAATATATATATAAGAACATTTGTTGTTCGACCTGTTAGTCAAATGCGTTTTGTTAAAATATACTTTTTCACTTTTTTGGTCTTTTGGAAAATGTTGTTTGTGCTGTATTTAGACCCCTCTAACATGAACATTGTTTTGCATGCACACGTATAAAAATTTCGGTTTTTATCCAACGCAATCATAGGTTTGAACGTTGTTTTCAATTTAGACTTGTTTATATATATATACATGATTTCTAACCTATGTACTGTTTGTTCGAATTTAACCGAAACTGTATCTCGAATTATTACAAATTTTATAACGTATTCATAAAAATCAATGAATATATAATAGTAAAATGTGTTACTACAACAAAATGACCTATGCAGGTGGTTTCTTAAAGAATATCATATGTAAGAATACACACTAAAGATGTATTCTAGACAAAAGTGAGAAAGCTATATTATACCACCTATAACATAATGTGTGAATATTCTTACCAAACCGTTATAAACAGGCATGGGAAATCACTTGTATAGACAAACTGTAACACATACAGATATAAAGTATAACAGTATAATTACATAAGTTCTTGCTGTGTGGGTTGCTATATTTTATAAGAAAATTGTCCATTTTGATAGCCTGGTCAATTCTTAAAACGAAAAAAATAGCATTGCAATTTTAAACATAAAGTTAACAAAATGTATAAAATCTTTATTTCATGTTTATTTCTCAGTTTGATGACCGAGTCAATGCAGCCGTATTTTTTCTGAAAATAACGAAATTTCTTGGTTTTTTTTTACTTTCACCGTTGAAAATTACTCGAAGCCCATCAGAATGCTGCCCAAATAAACATTTAATTTATCTGGACGTAAAACAATAACGCTTGTGTTCGTGTTTCCGGTATTGTATAAATTTGCAAATGTATCTTTGACTTGGTTGGGTTACTGTCTCTTTGATTTGGTTGGGTTACTGTCTCTTTGACTTGGTTGGGTTACTGTCTCTTTGACTTGGTTGGGTTACTGTCTCTTTGACTCGATTGGGTTACTGTCTCTTATGAATTATACGCAACATCTTTTTTATTATTCACTAAAATGAAGAAACTCAGAGGGGACGAATTTGAAAGATTTTTATATTTGAAAAAATAACAAGAAGTGAATAGAAAAGCAATGAAAAAATTATTTTTTTGTCACATTTTTGCATGATAGGCAATGCAAGAGCTTTGAAGCTAAGCAAAACTAAGTATAAGTTCCATTGAATTTAAGAGATATTATACAGTATATATATATATACTGATTAATTTTGCTTACCTATTTTTCTAAATGTTTGACTGACCAGGAGTAGTAAAACATGTACATATAGTCCGGTAGCCTACAAAGAAATTTAATGTATGTTTCTGAGTACAACTTATTTCATTTTAATCGGATTATTTGTATGAATTCTATATTTAATAACTCTGGATTATCATATACAAGTGTTGTTCAAATAATATTGCACATAGACGATGTTAAAGACATGGTCAAATATTAACGTTTAAATATTTTCTTAAATAATTTGTATATTGTTATTGGTCAGTCTGCTTTAAAAACGAATTTTATCTATACTTTAAAACCGCTTTAAAACACAAGATTTTGGACTAGAAAAATATGTCGGAATGTCAATAACACAAATCGTAACACACAATTTGTAAATTAAGATACTGGAATATGGTATGATTGCCAATGAGACACTTTTAACCAGATTCAATGAGACACATTTAAACCAGAGTTAAAATGAAGAAGATGTAAGCAACTATAATTCACCGTAGGGTCTTCAACATTGAGCATACTCATACCGAGTAGTCAGCTAAAACTTGAAGGACCCGACATGAAAACATGTGAAACAATTTAAACGGGAAAACAAAACAGTAAACGAAAAACAAACATGCGGACAACAACCGACATCCACTTAATAACAGACTCTTGCATGATTTGGAAGTCAAGCAATATTCGTTCAATGTGTCATAAGTTTAGATTTATGTAGAAAAACACTGGAGTGAAAACAATCAGAATCGAAAAGACTATAAACGGACTGACTAGAATAAGTGCGCCGACCGGATCAGAATGCATCTCTAGCTAGGGACGTATCTCCTGAATAACAACCAGTGGCAAAAGTCTCAAAATCAGGAAGACAATAAAAACGTCCTATTGTGTAAATTCCGTCTGAAACCGGTAAATCGACTTGGTTTCGTAAAAACAGCATAGAAAAAAAAATATTTATGAGGTTTTATGTAACTTAAATGAGATAGCTAATGAATATCATTACTTCTATGTATATAATTAAAATGATATAACGCTTCCACATATATACATACGTGCACAGTACTATATTAGATCCTTTCATATGTTCTCAAAATAAAAGCAGATGTGGATATACGTCAATGGGACAGAAATGCAACCATACAAATAACCAAAAAGACGTATATGTGCTGTTTGTGTACAGTTAACATTTAATGTTATTGTTCTGAACCATTGAATTGTGCTTTAAAAAAATGAGAAAGTCGTAATATGCTGTTAATTCAGATATTTTGCTATACTTTTTCCAATGCATATGAAACCATCATATTAATTAGAATTCACGAATTTAGATTCGAATTCAAATTCGTATAGCATTATTTTGATGCAGCATATCCAGAAACTACATTAACTTATTTCACGTTTTTGTACGTTGATCAACAATCGAATCAACAAACGCACGTTAACGCACATGCTTTTCTTATAAATGATTGTATTAAAGACTTTGCCGTTTGCATTTCATTGTTTCTTTGCACGATGTTTTCTCTTGTAGCACTTGATTTGTCTAACAATATAACGCGAAGAAAAAAATCTGAACAAGAGTATATATATAGAATTGTTAACAAGTCTAAATTGAAAACAACGTTCAAACCTATGATTGCGTTGGATAAAAACCGCAATTTTTATACGTGTGCATGCAATATATATATAAATCATCACGGATTTCACCAAAATCAGTAATTATCAAAGTTCTTCTAATTAATAACCGCATCAATATTTTCGAGATATCTTTTAAAAAAACGACTTTCTTGGAAAAATAATTTAAATACCTACATAATTTTCAAATAAAATATCTGTCAGGAAAAAAAAACAATAAGTAAGTTAAAAAAAAGGAAACGCTTGGTCGACATCAAATTGTTTGACTGCCTACGCGCACGTGTTTCAACTAATGCGCATACTGGAAGACAATATGTTGTCTATTCTGACTGTTCTGTATATTTGAATGCTGTCTAATTTGTATATCCTACATTGTTTTTTCTTTACATACATTTAGAGTTCATTTTTTTTGGTTGTTTCTTTCTATACAAACGCACATGGTTCCATTGGCAATTAAGGACGAAACACAGGGATTACCAAATATGAAAATAGGAAGATGAGGTATGATTGCCAATGAGACAACTCTCCACCAGAGACAAAATGACAGAAGTTAACAACTATAGGTTACAGTACGGCGATTTAGGGGTGGTGCTTCTCAAACCTTAAAATATTTTCGGCCCAGGACGTTTGCATTTATTAATAGGATATTTGCGCTTTTTTAAGTGGACATTTGCGCTTTTGAAAAAAGGACATTTGCGATTTTTTTCTACCGAACACATGTGCTTTATCAACATAGCCTTTGATATATCTAATTTTGAAGTAGTTTATGGATTGCTGTTCAAGGATATCCGTCATAAAAGACAAAACTACAGGATGAGATGAGTAAAATATTATACCACTATGAAAATATTCTGACCATTTGTTGCTCTTTTTCTGTGTGATGGCTGCTCAGCTCATAATAATGGTGGATATCTTTGTATTCACTAGAAAGTCCTAACTTGAATCTTTCGTCAAACGAAAATACTTCAAAAGAGAGGCAAAAGATACCAAAGGGACATTCCAACGCCATGGCTAAAAAAGAAAAAGACCAACAGACAAACAATAGTACACAAAACTCAACATAGAAAACTAAAGACTGAACAACACGAACCCCACCAAAAAACTGGGGGTGATCTCAGGTGCTCAA